GACACACAGGTGACTGCTGTCAGCTGCTTCTGCCTCTGGCTGCTGTGCCACAAGTGTGAAAATTCCTCTTTGAGCCCTGCCTCCCCTGTTGTGTGTATGGGGTCAATGTTTACTCACAATTTGGGCCATGCCACCTAGGTCACACTTTTCCTTGGGAGCAGCACCATTTTATGTCCATGACAGCATGTCCAAAGCTTCTGATTTCTCTACGCCCTCACCAGCATGTCATTCTTTTGTTTTACTTTTTGTAAGAGTTACATTACATTTATTTATTTGTATGTGAGCACCCGTGTCACGACATGCCTGTGAATGTCAGAGGTCAATTTGTAGGAGTCAGTTCTGTCCTTCTACCATGTTGGTCCTAGTGGTAGAACTTGGGTCCTTTGTCTTGGCTGCAAGCCCCTTTACCTTTACCCACTCAGTCATTGTTTCAGCCCTGTTTTGCTTTAAAGTTATTTTTTTTTTGTTTTTTGTTTTTCAAGACAGAGTTTCTCAGAGTAGTTCTGGCTGTCCTGGAGCTCACTCTGTAGATCAGGCTGGCCTCAAATTCTGTGTCTGCCTCCCAAGTGCTGGGATTAAAGGCGTGTGCTAAAAGATTTACTTGTTTTTTTTTTTTAAGATTCATTTATTTATTATGTATACAGTGTTCTGCCTGCATGTATGCTTACATATCAGAAGAGGGCACCAGATCTCATTATAGATGGTTGTGAGCCACCATGTGGTTGCTGGGAATTGAACTCAGGACCTATGGAAGAGCAACCAGTGCTCTCAACCTCTGAGCCATTGCTCCAGCCCTTGCTTGTTTGTTTTTAAGATTTATTTATTTATTATGTGTACAGTGTTCTGCATGAAGGGCAGAAGAGGGCACCAGATAAAATTGTGGATGTTTGTGAGCTACCATGTGGTTGCTGGGAATTGAACTCAGGTCCTCTGGAAGAATAGCCAGTGCTCTTAACCTCCGAGGCATCTCCCCAGCCCAAGATTTGTTTTTTGTTTTTAATTGCGTATGTGCATGTGTGTCTGTGTATGCATGAAGCTCTCACCTGATCACCTACATGGCAATTTACTTTCAGACACTCTGCTGAGTTTCACTCATCTGATTCTCTGTCATGGTGACAGTGCCAATCTGTTTTCATTGCTATGGCCTAGTTGCTGTCTGTTTTGAAATGAAAAAGACAGAATCCCCCAATTTTGTCAGTTTTCAAAACTGATTTGACTCTCAGGTTTGAGATTCCATATGAATTTTAAGAGGTTGTTTTTCCACCTCTGCTACTTAATAAATGTCAGTGGGACTCTGCCAGGGCTGTGTGGCCTCTGTGACTGCTTTGGGTACTTTGAGCATCTTAGTAATTCTCTCCAAATCCCTAAACATGGGGTGTCTTTGAATTTAGTTGTTGTCTTAAAGTTCTTCCACCTCTTGGTTGGGATCATTCCTAAACATCTGAATGATGGCATGGATGAAATTGTTTTAATTTCTTTCTTATTTTGTTTTGAAGGTTTGAGACACTCTCATGCAGCCTGGCTAGCCTTAAGCTTCAGTGTAACCAGGGATGACTTTGAACTGCTCCATCCTGCTGCCTCCACCTCCATTCCTGGCTTAGTTTCCATTTCTGGGTTGTTCATTGCTAGCATATAGAGACAGACGATGTTGTATGTTGGCTTTGTATCTCAAAACTGCTGGATTTGTTTCTTATGGAATCTTTAGAGTGAGAAAAGAGTTTTACCAAACCCTGGTTCAAGGCCTTGCTGCCAACCTTGTAGGATTCTAGCTTTGTCCATTGCCAACAGCATCTTTCAAGCGAGCTCTGCCCACTCTTAAGCCTTCTTTATTTTGTACTTTTTGTGGTGCTGGGAATCAAACCCAGGGACTTCCACATGCTAGGCAAGTGCTCTATCACTGAGTCATACCCTCAGCCCTCCCGAAAGCCTTTTAAAGCCACCTGAGACGGTATCTTGTTGTTTTCCTGAGCCTGGGTTTCCTCGCTTAACACAGTAGTTTCCAGTTCTGCCCATTTTCCTAGACAATTCATAATTTCATTTTTATGGATAAATAAATTTCCATTGTGTGTATGTACTATCCATTCATCTGGTGATAGTCATCTAGGCTGGTTCCATTTCCTTGCAAGTGTGACTCAAGCAGCCATGAATACAGTTGTGTGAGTGCCTGAGCCAACATTTGATGGCAGGTGAATATATGCCGGGCACAGAGCTGTCTATAACCCTGCTGCTCATGAGCCCTGTCTGATGCACATTCCTTAGGTAGGGCATATAGCCTGAGCCCTCAAGGTGGCTGGGAGGTGTCTGACCCATAGCAGTGGGGATAATGAGTTTCTGATACCTTTGTTTTCTCAGTCTCATTCCATCCTTGAGTGTCAATACTGGGAAGAAATGAGACCTGCCTTTAACTCTACTGCTTCAAGGGAAAAAAAAAATGAAAAGGACCCAGGTAACCAGGATCTAGAAACCTGGAAGGCACTTCTCCAGATTCTTATCTTGCCAGAAGGGAGAAGAACCTACTGTCTTCTCTTAGGAGGTCTTGGCACCTGCCATGGGACACATTGGTTTGCAGTGGAGTCCCAGATGTGGCCACCTTGTGTCCCACTGAGGTCAGGAGACCTCAAGCACCCCTGGACATCAATCACCCCACCTGTGTGCTTGGCTGGATAAGGAGTGTCTGAACACGGATGCAGGGCTGGGTGCACTTTAAAAATGACTTTCCCTGCTTCAAAACGAGGCTGGCTTTGAGCCCCAAGCTCCTTCGGGGGCTGTCTAAAATTAGCACCCTGGTGACAAGGCAGTCTTTGTCAGGGGCCTACAGCTTGCACAGGGAAGCAGGGAAATGTCAACAGCATAGTTTCAGCATCAGTTTGAGTTTTTTCACAAGGGCAGGCAAATGACGCTGCTTCAAAGGCTTTTAGAACCCAGGTTCTCAGTGGCTGTGTGATTAGACTGTCGGGTTGATAAGGTACTGGCTTCGTGGTCAGACAGCAGGGTCATTCCCTCCCCCACCCAGCACAGGGGTGGCAGCACAGGCCTGGCCACCAGCGTCTTTATTTGTGAGGTGTTTTGAGCCCCCCACATTCCTTTGATGAGCTGAGCAGTGATCCTGGGTTGAACTGTACCCTTGGGGACATTCACCCACACATCCCAGAACTTGCCTGAAGGCTGGGGAAGTGGGCATCAGCTGTTGGGTGTGTTAAGGTATGGTCATGTACAAAGCCAAATGTATAGAAAGACTGCATCTTCTGGGAAAGGTAGTATTGGCTGTCTGGGTGTGGACCCCTGACCCAGACCCAGATCTAGCTCTCCCCACTGGGTCTCGGTGTCCTTCCTGCATGGTTGTGATTGGGTGGGATGTTTGTGAAGTTCTCAGCCTAGGCACAGCAGATAAATGGTGCCGCCATCCCTGTGTGTGTGAGCCGTAGTTTCGGGAACCCACAATGCTCATTCCTGTGGCATCTAGAATGATGGATTTGGCATGTAGCCACCCCGAATTGGTGTGGGCAGGCATTGATTATGCCTATGACTTCCCACCTTCTTCCCATGAATGGGAGAGGCTTCGTGCTTTTTAAAATGAGAGCCCAGGCTCAGGATGGCAGAACCTGAGGCCGTGGCCTTGTGTGTGTGTGTGTGTGTGTGTGTGTGTGTGTGTGTGTGTGTGTAGTTGCCATCTTGTTGCAGTGACAAAACACCTGACAAAATCATCCTAAAGAAGGAAGGGCGTTGGTGGCACACGCCTTTTATCCCAGCACTCGGGAGGGAGAGGCAGAGGCAGGTGGGTCTCCGAGTTCGAGACCAGCCTGGTCTCCAGAGAGAGTTCCAGGACAGCCAGAGTGGTTACACAGAGATACCATGTTGAAAAAAAAAAAACAAAAAACAAAAAAAGAAGGAAGGGTTTTGGTGATTATTGCATGCCTTGTGCGCTCAAAGATGATCCGTAGTCCGTAAGGCTAAGATTTCTTTATTCAGATAAACACCAGCCCAAACGCCAAGCCAGAGTGTGCCAGGTGCACAAGGCAGCCAGGCCAGAGAGAGGGGCCAGAAAGAAGGGGCTATTCACGTGTGCTTGGTCCCTTAAGAATCATTCCCGCATCACCTTAGACCTCCCCTGACCACGCCCTCACGGGTGTGTCCTGGCACTACTAGGAGGTGGGGCTACAGTGTCTCCCTACAGGGTTTATTTGAGCTCACAGTTTGAGGGGCAGATCCATCATGGCAGGGCAGGTATGGTGGCAGGAGCTTGGGGCAGCTGTCATATTTCACCCATCATCAGGGAGCAGGGAGAGAGATGGACGTGGGCATCAGCTCACTTCCTCCTTTTTATTAGGTCTGGGAGCTCAGCCCATGGAATGGTTTCCCTACCTCAGGTAACTCAATCTAGAGCCTTCCTTGAGCATGCCAGGAGGTTTGTCTCCTAGGTGACTCTAGATCCTGTCGTGTTGATGGTCCATATCAACTGCCCCAGGTGTCAGGATGTGGTTCTTCAGAGTTGGCATGGGTCCAAAGCCTGATGGCAGAGTCCTGGTAAGAGGCAGGATGGGCACAGAGATTGGCATCTGGAAGAGGCGCAGATGCCGACTGCTGCAGATACATTCAAAGCATTACAGGGACCCTTGCTTTGGAAGAAACCAGGAAGGGGTTTCCTGAACCTCCAGGTGTGGCTCTGCCGTGCCTTGATAGAGACTATGGCCCCCAGGATAGACATGGAGTTTGTTTCCATTGGTTTAAGCCGCCCAGTTTCTGGTCACTTGCTTGACCTTAGGGAACCAGCTGGCCACTCCTGAGGTGTGAGGCCAGGAGGTGGAGACTGTCTCCTGCTCTCTAAGGTGAATCTTCTTCCTTCACTTCAAGACTCCCAGATCAGGTTGTGTGAACCTTCCTTGGAAAACCCACTTCTCACTGACAATCTGACCAGGCCCAGGCCTGTGGGTAAGAGGCAGTCTGCCTGGACCTCATCAACCTGAGGCAGCTTTTTCTGATTTATACCCTTGTCTCCCCAGGTCCGGGCCATACGGCTATCCTTTGTTGGGGAGCTGGGCTGGGAGCTGCATGTCCCCCGTGCATACTGCTTACCAGTGTACCAGGCTGTGATGGCTGCAGGTGCCAAGCATGGCCTTGTCAATGCAGGCTACCGTGCCATTGACTCCCTGAGCATCGAGAAAGGTGAGCCCTGGGAGGCCACCCAAGCCACCAGGAAGAATCTGGGGATGCTTCTGTCACTGGTGTGCATATTTTCACATCATAAATCCCTCTATGTCCAAGCCTTGAGTATTTTCCCAAACCCTCCTCACTGCCTATTCACGGGGTCTCCCACACAGGGCCTTAGAAGTGATTCTGGGGCCCCCAATACCCATACACACCTGGACTCAGAGGTGAGGCACTGCCTAGAATCCTGAGGGAATAGGCCTCAGTGGGGAGGGGTTGAATTCAGCACTCTGGGCTCCTTGAGAGAATCTTTTGAGCTTTTGAAGAATTTGGTCCTGGACATTGGCCCCAGGGCCTCACATATGCCTGTGTGTGTGTGGGGGGGTGTCCTACTACTAGCAGCACCCAGATATCTCCTGAGAGGTGAGGACTCAGAGCAGGATAGGCTGCTAGCAAGTGGCCACCTCACTTCCTTTAAAAGATGGGGGAAGTTCGGAGTGGGATCTGCCCTTCCCCTAGGGTGGCTCACTCCACCTTCTGGGTTGAGCAAACACCCCACCCTGAGGGTACAAGGGCCTGGAAAGCTCACGGGACTAGTCTGCTCCAGGAGCTCATATAGGGAACTTTCTGGAGTCCAGGATCTACCTCATCTTCCTGGGCTGCCCAGATTTCTAAGCAGCAGTAAAGGTGGAGATTTGGGGACTGGGTAGTGCAGGTTTGAGCAGCTCCCACATGTATCTTCTAAAGACTTGTTGCCCATCTCAGCTGGACACTCACGCACATTCTCCTTGCCCCACAGGCTATCGACACTGGCATGCAGACCTGAGACCTGATGACAGCCCCCTGGAGGCAGGATTGGCCTTCACCTGTAAGCTCAAGTCTTCAGTGCCCTTCCTTGGCCGTGAGGCCTTGGAGAAGCAGCGTGCGGCAGGCCTCTACCGACGCCTGGTGTGCCTCACTGTGGAAGAGTGAGTATTCTGGCCCATAGAGTGACTGTCCACACTGATGAGGTGGTACTTAGTATTTCCAGGGAGAGTCCCTGTGACTGGCATGTCTCTCAGGTCCGCCTCCCTTTCAAAATGGCCCATTGCAAATGGGAAAAGTGAGGCCTAGGAGTTCTAAATCTATAACACACGATCTGCATCATAGTTGGTAAAAGCAGAACTGGTATTCAGATTCAGACTTCTCGGGCGCTGAGTGGGCCAGAAGTGGGTCAGAGGTGGGGGCGTGGTCAGGGCCCCAGGGACATAGGAAAGGCTTAACCCTCTCTAATGAAGTCATTTAGAAGAGAAAGCCAGGCTGGCTCCTCTGTGGTGAGTAGAGCCAGGCCTGGTAACTTGGGAGGGTGAACCCTACTTACAAGTTGGTGCCCATGTCCCTTTGCAACCACCTCCTATCCTGTTCCATTTAAATCCTGACTAGGTAGAACTGTCCTCCATTTATAAATGAGGGCCGTCATGTGACAGACTCATACCCAGTCACACAGCAGAGGTGAAAGGAGAGACCCTTTCCAGGGAACTCAACACCCTTTCTGGGGAACTCAACCCTCCATTCAGCTCACCAAGAAATAGCTTGGAACATGTCACTGGGAGCCAGGCTCAAGTGCTCCCAGTCACCAGGAGCGTTTGGATCCTGGAGGCCTGGGTTGTACACTGGATAATGTTGCAGCCCATGGTGGTACCATAGAAATTCTCATAGCAACTGTCTCCAGGAGGGGGAGATGGCTTTGGGCGTTGCTTTGCAGCTGGCAGTCAGCCACAAATGCTGCCACTTTGCTCAGAGTGTCAAGTGTGATGAGAGGCAATGAGCAGAACTAGGGTTTGCCATCATACTGTGACTTCTTGAGTTCTCACCTACTCCCCTGAGTACTGCCCAGCTTGGGTGGCAGGGGCCTTTCAGATGGGGCAGAGCTTTCATAGTCCCCCTTAAGCCTCTATGATAGCTTCTGAGGCCCGTGTTTAGCTCCAGAGCTAAGGGTCAACACCTATCCTGTTCAGGGGCTTCCTTCCTGTCCCTGAGGTTCTTGGCTACAAAACACACAATGATGTGTGCCTGCTGCTTTGAGGGGACTTGGCTGAGTTGAGCCTCCATGATGCCATTTTGTCCCATGGAGAATGACTAGAGAGGATGCAGGGGAGGAGGTGTTCACCAAGCCTTCATCCTGGTCCCCATCCTCTGGTGGGTAGGACTCAGATGGTATGTCTCTGAGTTGCAGACCCAGAGGGCATCTGAATCTGCCCTGACTCTTGTTATTCTGGGAAGGTTTCACACCACTGTGGTATCCTCTGGTGAGTAGGACTCAGATGGTATGTCTCTGAGTTGCAGACCCAAGAGGGCATTTGAATCTGCCCTGACTCTTGTTATTCTGGGAAGGTTTCACACCACTGTGGCTCTAATGACAGCCCAGAGGAACAATCTGCAGATGACATCAAGTGTTACCGTGATCTGGGCATTTACATTTCTAGGTTTTAGTGAGTTTCTTTTTCTTTTTGTCTACCATTTTGAATTTTGAATAAAAAACTTTAGTATTAATATAGTACATTGATAAAGAAAAATCCTTTAGCTGGGCAGTGGTAG